ATATATATATATCTGTATTACGATTCGAAACATGTTATACTTTACCTTGACTAGTAAAGTTACCAAAATTGTGCACCTCTACATTTCAATGTCAGAAATATTATTATTGTGCCTGACATCTTTTTATTTTAAAAACCGTTCAATTAAAATATTTATTAAAAATAAAATTATTGTTAACCATTCATTCTTAAACCAATATATCAAAACAAATTAAAAAACTTTCATAATAATTATAAAGTTTTTTTTTTTTTTTTTAGAAAGTAAATGTTATTTGCAAGTCTTCTTTTTGCTTCGTTAAAACTAAATCTTGATTATTAATAAAGCTATTGTTGCATAAGTATATATAAATATGTTCTGCACAAATATTTATCATTTCTTCTGGAAAGATAAATAAGATCGCCTGCATAGATAGTGTTTACCTTTGTTCTTGCAAGAAATTTTGATTTTAATCAGATCCATGTCGGCTTTCCTACAATTTACTGCACACGTTAATTAAAGTAAGACAAATATTTATCGCATTCATTATAATCTCATTAACTCCAGCGACAACTAGCAAAAATTTCTTTTGCTCGTAACTAATACTCCCATGATATTTAAACTCAAACACATTAAAAATAAAATGATTAATTAATTAAATATAAATAAAATAATTTTAATAACTAACAATTTTTTATAGAATACATATGATCCATCCAAGTGACAATCGTTCTTCAAAATATTAATAGATCCTACTGCAGAATTATCTAAGGCCTAAGGTACTAAAGATACTTTACTAAATTGCGAGTTCTCAAATTTACGCAAAAGTAATTTTAACTACAATTTGAAGCATTACCGTTTTACTATAACCTACGGGAAAATTTCTGAACAACGATAATAATAACGAATCGAGATGGCAATAAGGAAAAACGATATCTACGAAGTATATTGAATACAGCGATTCTGCAAGACGGGCAACCCTGAGCCTCAGTTTAAATTTCCTATAAAACAACTCATCGTGCAACTAGGAAATTTAATCACCGTATAGCGGCTCTCGGTTCACCCCGAGGCTACGGAACTGGCAAATTCAGTAACATCTTGCAGAAGTTCGTTATCCTTGCGCCCCTCTGTACCGTCGTCGGTTTACCAAGACGCCCGTACTATTTCGTAATATTGACTTCATCAATGAAAAACAGAATCCAGTTTGGAACCCATCTGCATATACCGATCCCAGTGCAATTACTCTCTTCACACGCGAATATTGTATGGTACGCGTTATTGAGCTCAAATGGTCAATGATCGAGCAGAAAAATCATCAAAAATAAGAAAAAACATTGATAGAGAAAAATGTATCGCAGATTAATCTACCACGTATAGCGCTGACAACAGCATAGACAATATTACAGTTTTTCATTTTAAAAGCGTTAAAAAATTATACTTGTAAACCAAGCAAATATCAAATAGAATACTGCCAAAATAAAATAAAAAATTGAATCAGTAAAAATATATAATAGAGATTATAATCTGATATTTTTAAAATAATATTTCGTATTTTAAATCTTAAACTTGATTAGAGTTCTAATTATACTCGTACCGCACCACTTTGTATTGACACGTGCAATAAAAAATATATTGCAATTTCGAACTCAATTGCACATCGATCCCAACGCAATTACTCTTTTCCCAACGGGAGATTGCAAGCTACATTGTTACAATGCAATATATGCCAATCATTATAGTACAAAAGTACGCATTTGAAAAGATTATTAATCATATTCTACATGAGCAATAGCAAATGTAAGAAATATGAAATATCCAATGAGAGTAAGATTATTTTGCATATAAATAAAAAAAATTATATATATATGAGAAACTTTTGCAAAAGGTCGCATATAGTCATTTCGGGATCTTTTACTATCTCTTATTTTTAATTTATTTATGGTAATAAGGATTGCCAAAATTGCTTAATAACGTGAACAAATTGTCTTTGTGTTTAATAACTTTAACAGGTACTTAACAGCTATGTATAAAATGTTTCGTATATGAATATGGTGTAAAGCACTTTGTACACAAGTACCTTTGATTAAATGTACATAACTATGTACGCTGTGGTAACGCAGTAGCGTTTCACGAAAACAGGAAGACATTTTGTTACGCAAATTGGTCTGCGAATTCATTTGTAGAATTGTTTCGCAAATGGCAAATTCGATCAACCTACTTACCATCTTCCGCGTCCCGATTTATTATTCATAAATTCAACAATTTGATAAACATGCATTTTCTAAATTTATGCGCGCATTATCTCTATACTTCGTCTTTCAACTATTCATATAATTTTTTGCATCAAGAAGACAAATTGATATTTTCATTAACTGTGATATAACCCGAAATAACTTTAATAAACCATGCTAAATTTGCGCTAAGTTTTTCAGATAAGAAATATGTGGTGAGCAAAATATGCACAAAGAAATTCTCGTAACATTAATTCTAATAATAGAATCAAAATTAATGTAAAACTGATGTAAAAATAAAAAATTCTGGAAGCAAACGCGAAAAATTCCAGAAGTCTTAGCTAAAAATATTGCGTTTTTTCAAAATTTTACGATAATTATACTTGTAAATTGTAAAAGAATTTGTATATAACAAATATAACAAAAAGTACCTGGCTCGAATCAATTATCCATTATTAGAAATAAAGTTAGCTGAACTAATCCCTATGACCGACACAGAGCACGAATGTAGTTTCAGCTAGATAGTTAGAGAGAAACGCAACTCCTCTCTAAACACAGTAGCATTGATCGAGAGCCACGTCCTCTATGACACTTTCTGTACAAAGGAGAGAGTACTGACACGACGCCAAGGTAAACTGGGTCTTCATGGTAAGAGAAGCAGAGATCCTCTTCATCTCCGATCACCGCAAACCGCCGCCCTTCTCGTTGCGCTCTTTCCGATCGTACGTTCCGCAAGCTTTGTGCTCTTTTTATTTGTCTCCAGTCTCATCGCGTGTTACCTAC